TCAGGGCTGAGCCTGAGGTCCCAGAGATCCCAATGAGATGCCTTCCCCTCCTCTTCAGCTCCCTGGGGCCAGGACATGGCAGAAGAGGTTTCTTGTTGCAGGTTGCTGGAGCTAAGCCTGGCCCCAGGCTCCTCTGTCCCTCAGTTTCCCCTGCCCCAGTAACCTCACAGGGCCATGAATATCTGCCCATGCCTTCTTGGTAGGAGCCCTCTGTGTCCACTGGGGGCTCAGCAGCCCCCCTCCAAGCTCTGGGTCTGTTATCCCAGTGTCACCAGCCCCATGTCTGGGCCAGCACTGAAGGCAAGCTCTGGAGAGTGGCCAGCCTGAGAGACTTCCCTGCGTTGGTCTGGCCCTCTCCAGTGTTGACAGATTTAATGAAGGTCCTTCTGTCCCCCTGCCCCTGCAGCCAGGGCTTCAAACAAGGAGTAAGAACCCAGGAACCCAAACAAGGCATTGGCAGAGCCCTGCGGGTGTGCTGCTTGGGTGGCTGCAGTGGGATGTCCCTATCTGTGCACTGGTTTGGAGGAGATGAGCAATGCTGGCAAAGGAGGAAAGGTGGTGTGTTGGGGAGGGCTGGAGCTGGGCTTCTGGCCCTTGCCTTCCTTCCTCTCTGTCCTCCAAGCACTGAGCAAAGGCACTTCTTTGGCCCAGTGTTGCAGGGCTGGGAGGCACAACCCAGCCCCTGCCTTTCATAATCTCTCAGGCCATGTCACTGTGGTCTCTGCTCATCTGTTATTTTATGCTGATCAAGGAGAATGTTAGAGCAAAACCTGCCTCTTCCCTTCCCACCTGGGGGATGAGGTTTGCTCCTGGGTGGTTCACAGCATCTCCTTCCTGGTGGTCAGGGGCTTGGAATTACTGTTTCCTTGTGGGGGAGGTAGAAGGGCACCTCTTTGTGCCACCCCACTTTCTTGGCTTGTGGGCAAGTTACTCCAGATGTCCCCTGTGGACTCTGGTGTTGCAGCATCTTCTGCCAAGTTGGGGTTGGCAGTAACTTCTGCCAAATTTTCTTGATGGCAGTCAGAGCACCTGGGGGTTGCAGGCTTGCCTTTGTTCAGAGGCTGAAAAAACCTTTTTTTCAGTATGAGTACACCAGTACTGGATGGGACTGGGACATGGGAACCTCACAGGGGCACCTGTGAAAGAGAGAGACCCTGTGCATGTGATTCACTGGCTGTGGAGGAATGGGAGCCTCAGTACAGGGGTGCAGAACTTGGTGGGGGGAGACAGTGTGTCCATCTCTCTGTCAGACCTGTGGCTTCTCCTGTCAGACCTGTGGCTGATCCCTGCAGGGTCAGGCTGGTGGCCTGTTCAGTCCAGAGTCTCCTGGTGAACAATCACTTCCCGTTGCTCTCCAATAGCTGCTGCTGCTGAGCTGGTGGGTTTGTGGGCAGCCTCCCGCGGCTGGAGGGAGCAGGGGTCCTGCTGGGGTGTGCGTCATGTCCCGTGTGCAACCCCACATGTTTCCTTCCTCTGCCCACCCCACCTGAGCTTCTGGGGCCCTGCAGCCCTTGGCAGGTGACTGTTCCTGGTCTGTCATTTGCAAACATTCTTGTGGTGGTTCCCAGCCTCTTCCCTTGGGCAGATCCAGCAGAGCTGATGGCATTTCCAGTCACTTATGGTGGTGAAGGAGGAGTCCAGGGAGAGATCCCAAGCTCGCCTGGCAGTGATCCCAGGCTTACCCTGGCCCTGCTGATCTCTGCTCACTGCCTTGTGCTGGGTGTCCTGGGTCCCTGTGCAGACAGTGTGTCCCTCAGCCCTGACCTGCAATGGGTCTTGGCACAGCAGATACTGTGGCTCAGCACCGGGTGCTCCGGCCAGATCTAATGAGCAGCACATTGGTGGCTGCCAAGACCTGATTTAAAGGTTTCCCTAAGGGTGGGAAGACCTGGAGCAGGAGGCTTAGGGGGGCCCACGGAGTTCTGGGGTCCAAGGCCATGGGGTTTGCCCCACAAACAGCTGGACAGCAGGAGCTGAGCACAGCCAGCACATCTATGTGGAGGATCTGTCTTAGGGCTGGTTCCTTGGGGGTGGCTATGGGGTGAGGGCATGTCCCATCACTGAGCCATGTGCAGCCCCCAGGCACAGCCCAGCTCTGGGAGGACCTGCATGTCCCGTCTGCTGGGGCTGGGGACCCAGCAGCCAGGGAGCTCTGGCTTGTCCCCAGTGCTGGCCCAGCCATGGTGGTTACAGCACCCTGGGCTTTGTTTGCTCTTGGCCGGCATATGGGCAGCGATGGTGTGACAAGGGTGGCTCCACAAGAGGGCTGAGCCCGGGCACCTGCCTGTGCCCTGCTGGCTCCTGCCAGGAGCTGGATGGCTGTATCTCTTAATCACAGCATTTGCTGGCCAGACCTGGCAGTCCTTGGGAAGCCTGATTCAATTTTCCCTGATTGCTGAGTTACTTCCCTGCCATGATAATTAAATGCTTAACTTTGTTTGATTTGGGTGCAAAGCAACCTGTGTGCTAACAGCCAGCCCCTGGCAGCCAGCCCTCTCCCGTGACCCTGTGCCCAGGGGGAATGGGGCCAAGGCCCCACGAGCTCAAGCCATGCTGACCTGAGGCCTGGGGAGCTGATGTCTGCTGGGGAGGGCAGATAGCCCTATGCTTGCTGTGCTGGCCTGGAGGTATAGCAGAACCTGCAGCACTTTGCTCTGATCTTACCCTAGTGATGCCTGAAGAGCTGCCTGTCCAGGCTGGGTGCCCCATCCACCACCATGCTGTACCCTACACACTGTCCTGTCAGTTGGGTTGGCAATGCCTGGGGCATCCTTAACCCACAGGATGTCTTAGGGGAGCACAGGATGATGTTAGAGCTGCTCTCCTGGCTGCCCTGTACTGCTGAGTGATCACAGGGCATCAGCAAAGGATGGAGGGTGGGTTTGGGGCACAGGAGAGCAAAGCATGGGGGAACAGAGCAGGTAGTGAGGCTGGCAGATGGGCTTTGTGCTAGTCCAGGCTGTCAGACAGATGCTCCTGCAGCTCTGATGCTGAGGAAGGCAGAGGGAGAGTGAGTAGGGCAGGCAAGGGGAGACGGGGAGTGGGGATGGGAGTGGGAGCGGAAGCGGAAATGGGAGTGGGCAAACATCAGAGATACAGGAATGGGAGTGGGGTGAATGTGGGGAGGGGAGATGGGATGATCATGGGCAATGTGGGGAGCAAGGTGATGCAGAGAGTGGGGTGAAGGCAGGTGTTGTGGGGAGTGGAGCCAGGTGCTGCCTGGGCTTGCCTGGCCTTCCTGCCTGGGCAGGCACATCCACAGCAGCCAGGCTGGTCAGGGCTTGCAGGGCCAACATCTGCTAGCCCACCCTGGCAGAGGTGCTTGTGGCCAGCCAGGAGCAGGTGCCCAGCCCCTCACCCCATGCTGGAACAGCCAGCATCGCAGTGGCAGCCTGGCCCCTCTGGAGGTGGGGTGGACTACAGCAAGTGGCTCCCAGCCTCTAGGGTCTGGCACATAGAAGGAATATGCCATGGAGCTTTTCTACCTGCTGCATCCAAACTCGGCTCAGCTCCCTGCAAAACTAGCCCTGCCTGGCTAGGCAGCCTCCAGCCTTGGGAGGGGAGAGGGATTGCTCCTCACAGGGCACCTGCAGGCAGCCACCCTCCCTCCCAGAGAAGTGTCAGAGGGACCGGGGCTTCTTGCTGCAGCTGGGGCAGGCTCTGCCCTTCCACAGTTGCAAGGTTGGGCCCCTCACAACAAGAAGGACATGGGCTGGAGCATGTCCAGAGAAGGGCAACGGAGCTGGGGAAGGGTCTGGAGCACAAGTCTGATGAGGAGCAGCTGAGGGAGCTGGGGGTGTCCAGCCTGGAGCAAAGGAGGCTGAGGGGAGACCTGCTGGCTCTGCCTGAGAGGAGGTTGGAGCCAGGGGGTTGGTCTCTTCTCCCAAGGAACAAGTGATTGAACAAGAGGAAATTACCTCAAGTTGTGCCAGTAGAGGTTTAGATTGAGTACTGGGAACAATTTCTTTCCCAAAATGGTTGTCAGGCCCTGGCCCAGGCGGCCCAGGCTGCCCAGGGCAGGGGGGGAGTCCCTATCACTGGAGGGATTTCAAAGCCTTGTAGATGTGGTGCTGAGGGACATGGGTTAGGGGTGGCCTTGGCAGGGCTGGGTTAATGGTTGGTCTTGATGATCTTAAAGGTTTTTTCCAACCCAAATGATTCCATGATTCTAGGTTATAAAAGGACACTACAGCTGGGGGATCATGCACACACCCAGTCTGAGGGGGGTGCCTTGCTACCTCTGTCAACCCTGGGAAATGTCAGTGTAAGGGTGTGTGCTCAGCCTCCTTGGGGAGCTGGGACAGCTGCTGTGTGAAGCGGGGGATGCTAGGTGATGGGTCTCGGGGAGGCTGGGTCCCCTCTGCCCCCATGCCCATCTTCTCCCACTGGGCTGTGCTGGGTGACATGGCTGCCGTGTCCTGGGGTGGCTGTGCCTCAGGAGGGGGAGCTCAACCTGGGCCTGGCTGGGGGTGCAGGTGGTTTGGGATGGGGGCGCTGTGGCTCTCGCCCTGGGCACAAGGGCTGTGGCAGCATGTTGCCCTGGCAAAGTGCTGCAGACCAGATGATGCTCTGGATCCCCTTGGGGTTGCCATGGTGATGGAGGGGCGAGCTGAGGCAGTTGGGTGAGGTGGTGAGGGGACATGGGGACGTGAACCCAGCAGCCATGTCAGCCTTACTTTGGGGCACAGAGAGGCCTGGGTGCATGCAGCCTCGCTACAGGGATGCTGGCTGTGCCTTGTGTGGAGAACCCTGTCCCCTCTGCTGGTTGCAGAGATGGGCAGGTCTCTCTGCTGGGGAGCTGCTCCTGCCTGGGTGAGGGGACCCTGCAAGGGCTGTGGTGGGAACTGGTGCCCATCCAGCACTTGGCTCCCAGCCTTGCTCGATTCCCAGTGCTGGCACCAGGCAGCAGTGCTAAACAACTTGTCCCTTGTGCTGCCACCGAGTGTGCCTGTGTGCTCCTGGCCCCTCGGGTGTAGGACCCGCTCCCCCCTTCCTCTCAGATGCTCGGGCACCCAGGCAGCACAGCCGTGGAGATGATTCTTTCTCAGCCTGCCAGCACAGCAGGGAAGGGAAGGGGAGCAATGGAGAGGGTCCAGGCAAAGTCCCTTTGTGTCCCTGTGGACTGCAGAGTCTCCCTGGCACATGTGCTGCTGGGGTTGGATGCTTGTGCTGGAGCTGGCATCACCTGCTGAGAGCTGGTTGGGGCAGGAGCTGCCTGCACCCAGCCTGTGCCCCTCCTGTCTGTGGGACCCTCGGGTGCTCGGAGCTGGCTGAGCAGTGAAATTTGAATCATAGAATCACAGAACTAATCAGGTTCAAAAAGACCCTTGGGATCACCGAGTCCAACCATCATCCCAACTCTACAAAGTTCTTCCCTAAACGAGCAGAAGTGGGGGAGACATGGCCTGGCTTGAGGTGGGTCCCCACATGCCCTAGGGAAGAATTCATGTGTGCACACCCCTCCAATGCTGCTGCTTATCCTCTCTTTCAAACCTGCGTGCACATATTTAGTCACCTGGGGACAGCAGGGAGTAAAATGGAAGAAAATCTATGGAAAACCCTGTTCTTACTTTTCTTGAAAGAGATTTTCCAAAAATGCCATGCTTCCAGTTTGTTCGTCTTCCGGTTCCCTGGGGACACTGTTGCTGTGCGTGTCTGTGGTAGAGAGGGGAGGAGGCACATTATGTTGGTCAAAAAGTAAAGCTACAGTTAATTTTCCTGGAGGAGGGTGGGACCCTGGGAAGGCGACAGGAGTGAGTCTGAGGCTGAGCACATCAGAAGCTTTCTATTCTGGCTGCTGAGCTAAATATCCCCAGGGACACACACGTCTGCTGTGCTGGCTCCTGCGGGATGAGTAGGTGTTTGTGCTGTCCTCCCTCCCTTTTGCCCCCCACCCATGGTGGGGCTGGGCCCTCCCAGGCTTTCCTTGCTAGGCTGGCTAGGAGCAGTGGCTCGTGCAGAGTGCAGAGCGGCTGTGTTGACCTGCCAGTAGTGCAGGGGAATTAACAGCTGTTAACTGTTAATTAATCCCTGGGGGGAGATGTGCAGTCATTAGTCCTAATGAGAGCTGCTTGGTTCTGCACTCCCTCTATCTCCGTGAGTTCCCTAGGTCACTCCAGCTTCCCACAGCCAGTGCACCCACCAACCACCAGGGCTGGCCTGGCTGCCCACGGTCCAAGGCACGGGTTGGGTGTGGGGGGTGGGAGCCCAGCCTGTCCCCTTTCCCTGAGCCACTGCTGGGGACAGCCCTCAGGCTGGGCAGGGTTTTGGTTGGGATGGTTGGTTTGGCTCTGGGACCATCTCATGTTTTTGCATTTTGCATGTCAAGCCTTTGTAGCTGCAGTTTGATCTTGCTGCCTCAGGCTGCCCTGCGGCACGGCCACCCAGGCCCTGGCAGTCCCATCAGGGCTGCTGCCATTGATTGATCAGTGTCTGTGCAGCCCAGAGCTCACTGCTTGCCCAGGGACATGGCCAGGAAGGAGCCAGCAGAGGCCTGGGGAGCCTGGCTATCTCCATACAGGCTGTGCTGGGCCCAAGTGCAAGGTCCTGCAGATGGACCAGGGCAATCCCAAGCACAAATACAGTCTGGGTGGAGAATGGATGGAGAACGGCCCCAAGGAGAAGGACTTGAGGGTGTTGGGTGATAAGAAACTCAACATGAGCCCACGATATGTGCTGGAGCCCAGAAACCAACTGTGTCCTGGGCTGCATCTCGAACAGCATGACCAGCAGGTCAGGGAGGGGGTTTTCCCCCTCTGCTCCATTCTGGTGAGACCCCCCTGCAGGGCTGGGTCCAGTTCTGGGATCCCCAACACAAGAGGACACGGAGCTTTTGGAATGAGTCCAGAGGAGGCCATGGAGATGATCCATGGCTGGAGCAGCTCTGCTCTGGAGACAGTTGGGGTGTTCAGCCTGGAAAGAGAAGGCTCCAGGGAGACCTTAGAGCACCTTACAGTGCCTGAAGGGGCTCCAGGAAAGCTGGGGAGCAACTTTGGACAAGGGCAGGGAGGGATGGGATGAGGGGGAATGGATTAAAACTGGAAGAGGGGAGATTTTTTTGGACGTGAGGAAGAAATTCTTTACTGTGAGGGTGGTGAGACACTGGCCCAGGTTGTCCAGGGAAGCTGTGGCTGCCCCATCCCTGGCAGTGTTGAAGGGCAGGTTGGATGGGGCTTGGAGCAACCTGGTCTGGTGGGAGTTGTCCCTGCCCATGCAGGGGGTTGGATCTAGATGGTCTTTAAGGTCCCTCCCAACCCAAAGCAGTCTGGAATTCAACTGTTGGTGGGAGTTTTTAGTGCCAGCTGTGTGTCATTACTGGGTCTGCCTGTGCCATGGTACTCAGTCCTGCCTGTCATCTCAGCTATGGAGGTGGCTGATGGCATCGCTGAAATGCACCAGCCTCTCATCTCACCAGAAACATACCCAGGTTGTCTCTGCGTGCAGGAGCTGAAGCACCTGCCCTGTTTGCTCTACCCTGCAGGCAGAGGTGCTGGTGGTTCCCTGCTTTCAGTAGCCAGAGCTCTAGCATGGGCCACCCTCATGTCCTCAGGAGCAGTCTCATGTCCCCCAGTTCCAGAATGAACTCTGAGACTGTCCTCAGCCCGATTTTCTTCCTGCAGGATCCGTCCCCAACTGCCCAAAGAGAAAATAGAGGGATGTCACATCTGCACCTCAGTGACGCCTGGTGAGCCCCAGGTGCTGCTGGGGAAGGACAAGGCCTTCACCTACGACTTTGTATTTGACCTGGACACGTGGCAGGAACAGATCTACACGACATGCGTGGGCAAGCTCATCGAAGGCTGCTTTGAGGGCTACAATGCCACTGTGCTGGCTTATGGGCAGGTACGTGTCCTGCTGGCTCCTTGGGCTCTACCTTGGGCATCGGGCTTCTGCAGAGCTGAGGATGCTGAGATGGCACCTGCAGGGGCTGGGGAAGGTGGAGAGGTATAAGCTTCTGTGGGTGTCCAGCCCAGAGTTGTCCCTGGACAGGGTGAGAGCTGAAGCAGAAGTGGGTGGGAGGAGAAGGAGTCAGGGCTGGAGGGTGTGGGAGCTGGTGTGGGGGATCAGGGGGGCTCAGCAGAGGCATCTGGAGAGCAGGGGGAGGTGTGGGGCACTGTGGGCAGAGCTGGGCCTGGCAGCGCCAGGCCAACAAACCCTTTGGTGCCTCTTGGCAGACTGGTGCAGGGAAGACGTACACCATGGGCACCGGCTTCGATGTGAGCACCTTGGAGGAGGAGCAGGGCATCATCCCGCGCGCCATCGGCCACCTCTTCAGCGGCATCGAGGAGCGCCGGCAGGCAGCGCTGAGCCGGGGCCGGGCAGCTCCCGAGTTCAAAGTTAGCGCCCAATTCCTGGAGGTGGGTGGTAACAGGTCTGGAGGACACTGTGCGCCTACTGACCTCCCACATCCTGGCTCCTTGAGCCCCTCCATGTAGTGGCTACTTCCTCGGGAGCTGGAGCCAACAGCAGGTTGTGGCTGGGGACACGTGCCAGGGCAGGGCAGACTCAAAGCACCTGTATGTTGGAGCCTGTTGAGGGCTTTATCCACTGGCCCATCCTGGACATCATCCCAGGAGCTCTTGTATCCCTGTGTCAAGGCCTGTCCTACAGCCACCCTTACCCAGGAAGCCCAGGGAGAGCTTGTGGGCATAACAGCTCTGCTGTGCCAGGGGGCACATGGCCCCAACAGACACTGGTTACCAGGGGTACAAGATTTAGCCACACTGATCTCTGTCCTGTGACTCCCTTTCTGGGAGCAGATTGACAGAGCCTGGTTTAAACCCTTAGGGAGCCTGTTGGCACCTGGGGCGGCTGGGGATGGATTAGCCTGATCTGCTCTGCTGACCAGGAGCCTGCAGTCCTCAGGTGACCCTTCTCCCTCCTCTGGGATATGGGCGTGAGAGGGTGACGAGTAGCACTGAGTCATGGTGACAGGCAAAGGTGTCCCTCTGTCCTGCTGCAGGGTCAGGATATGGATGGGGGCATCCTGTCTGCTCTGGGTCCTCAGGGTTTTTCTTGCCTGTCCAGCACTCCCTGATCCCCCTTGTCATCTGTCCAGCTGGCAGAGGTGACCTTGGATCTCCTGGGGAAGAGGGACTCTGCTGGCTGGTGTGGCCAGGGTCTCCCTCCTGAGCAGGGAATACTGAGGGAATGTGTAGCTCCTCGGTGTCTGTGCAGGCTCTGGGGACAGAGCTCTGAAAGTGTCCTGGTTCCTGCACAGCTGCTTGTGTGGGGCAGGTATGTGACAGGGTTGAGCATCCGGAGCCAACCCAGGCTGCAGCTCAGAGCTCAGTGGGCAGAAGGCACATGTATGAACACCTTCCCCTCTGGACACCTTCTCCTTGCTGGGTACCCCTGGGTGCAGGGCTGGCCTTGCCCAGGCATCATCTCCTGTCATATGCACATGCTTGTGAATCTGCTCCTGCACTTGCACACCCACCAGTCCTCCTGGTCCACCCAGCCTGAGCTCACCTGTGTGCACGTGTGTGAGCACAGCAGCCAGGGCTGGGCGGCCTCTCCCGGGGCTGTGGCAGCAGGAGAACAGACCTCAGCTCCAGTCGGTCCCTTGGACTGGGCTCCAGCAGCCTCCTGCATCCCACTGCCACAGCACCCACTTCTGCCCCATGCAGCTCTACAACGAGGAGATCCTGGACCTGTTCGACAGCTCCCGTGACCCAGATGCACGCCACCGCAAATCCAACATCAAAATCCATGAGGATGCCAGCGGGAGCATCTACACCACGGGGGTCACATCACGCCTCATCAGCTCACAGGAGGAGGTGGGTACGGGATGGGGCCAACCTCGGATGGCAGCAGGGTGCTCACAGCCATGGATGTGATGTGTGGGGCCAGCCAGGAGAGGGGGATCCCACTCAGGATGGGACAGAACAGCCCCTGGGGATGCAGGGGGACGTCGGTGCTGCCCTGCCTCCCTGCAAGGGTGCTTCAGTGTTTCTTTCTTCCCTGTCCCATATTGTTGCAGCTGATCCAGTGCCTAAAGCAGGGGGCTCTTTCCCGCACCACTGCCAGCACCCAGATGAATGTGCAGAGCTCCCGCTCCCATGCCATCTTCACCATCCACCTCTGCCAGATGAGAGTGTGCACCCGCCCAGACCTGGTGAGATGTGCTCCTGCCTCACAGCTGGACTGTCCCTGCATCTGCTAGCCAGGCAACCTGTGGGTGTCCCTGAGAAAGGGGAGAGGGTTTGGAGTCTTGTGAAGAGAGGCAGGGCTTTGTCTGTCTTCTTTCCAGTCATGGCCAGTGTTAATGGAGCCGAGGCCTACCCTTGAGCAGCCCCATGCATGGCTGGGATGGTCTGGACAAAGGGATGGACCAGAGCTCTTGGGATCCTCTTCCCAGTCCTTGAGGGGTAGATGTGGAGGGGGAATCCTTAGGCTTTTGCTGACATCTGAGTGCAGCCAAGGGAGCTCCTGCCTGCTCCGGATGCATGCTAGTGACTCTCTCCCTGTGTGCCTGGCTGCAGGTGAATGGGCAGGTGACCACCCTCCTGGAGGGAGCCCAGGCTGCCACTGAGTACGAGACCCTCACGGCCAAGTTTCACTTCGTAGACCTGGCTGGGTCGGAGAGGCTGAAGAGAACAGGGGCCACCGGCGAGAGAGCAAAGGAGGGCATCTCCATCAACTGCGGGCTGGTATGGCCTGGGCATTGGCCTGCAAGGGGCAGGGCAGAGCCTGCCTAGGGGGGCTGGGGTGCCTTTGTGTCCTGCCTGGAGCTGCTCTGGGCTCTTGGGGTGGCTGCAGCCTCTGTCAGGGTGTATGCTAACTGGCCTTGTGGCATAATTCCTGCCCCTGGCAGGAATATGAGTATAGATTTAGATTGGATTTTAGGAAGAAATTCTTTTCTGTAAGGGTGGTGAGACACTGGAACAGGTTGTCCAGGGAGCTGTGGCTGCCCCATCCCTGGCAGTGTTGAAGGGCAGGTTGGATGGGGCTTGGAGCAACCTGGGCTGGTGGGAGGTGTCCCAGCTTATGTCAGGGGTGTTGGAACTAGATGATCCTTAAGGTCCCTTCCAACCCAAACCATTCCGTGATTCTATTAATTCAAAATCTACAGCTCTGTTGCTAAGGGCAGGACTGTGGGGAGTGGTAGAGCTCTGCATGAGGGTGCAAGTCTCCCTAAGGTCGTGGTCTGCTGACTTCAGCTTACAAAAGCCACCAGGGCTCAATGCTGCACCTCGTGACACATGGGAGGGGGGCACAGCCCAGGGAAGGGGTTGAACGTGGGGGCTGGTGAGGGGAGCCCCATGCTTCCACCTCTTGCACCCCAAAGCTGTGCCACAGCTCTTGCCCCAGGCATGCTGGCTGTGTAACAGCTGTGTTCTCAGCAGGGTCTGAACTGGGGGAACTTTCCTTTGTATTGGTAGCTGGCTTTGGGGAATGTCATTAGTGCCCTTGGAGACCAAAGCAAGAAAATTGTGCACGTGCCCTACCGCGACTCCAAGCTGACCCGTCTGCTGCAGGATTCCCTGGGGGGCAACAGGTACTGGGGTCCTAGGCTGAGCCCTGTGAGGGGGACTGGCCCCTACCTTAGGGCTGAGGGTCTGTAAAGCCACATAGGAGCTATTTCAGGCCTCATATGCCTCAAGGGTTGCCTGGTGGCGAGGCAAAGCCTCCTGGCCCACGGTGCATGAATTTTGCAGATGTAGACACCTTGGATCCTCATGAGTCCCAAGACCAATTAGCCAACTTTGGCAGAATTAGCTGGTGCAAAACAGTCTGGAGCCCTTGTGGATCTGGGGCTTGGCAGATGGTGTTACCCAGCATTGGATGGATTGAATTCCCTTCCTACTTTGGGTGTGCTCCTCTGAAGAGCATGTTCTTGCCCAGCAATCCTGGCGTGTGTGGGCTGGGTTGTGGAGGTTGGCTTTGCTCAGTGCTGTGTGACATGTTGTCATGGGGTCTTGCCTGTTCTCTGGCTCTGGGAGGGACTAAACCCAGTTTATACCTTGGTTATATAACCAAAAAGGGCCTAGGATGAGTGTTTGGGGCATGTAGCCTGTGCTGGGTCAGGTCACAGCTAAGTTGGTGCAGGGTGTGGGAAACTTGTCCTCACACCCTGACCTTCACCTCCCCAAGCCAAACCATCATGATTGCCTGTGTGAGCCCTTCTGACCGGGACTTCATGGAGACCCTGAACACGCTCAAGTATGCCAACCGAGCTCGCAACATCAAGAACAAGGTGGTGGTGAACCAAGACAAGACAAGCCAGCAGATCAGTGCCCTGCGGGCCGAGATTGCCCGCCTGCAGATGGAGCTGATGGAGTATAAGGCGGTAAGCAGCTGAGTAAGCCTGCAGCCATGGGAGGGAGCTTTGGAGCAGAAAGCCTCCTCCTCATGTTGGAATTGGTGGTTTTAGTGGGAAAGACCCTTCTGTCCACCATACTCTGCCCTGTTGGTAGGAGTAATTGCTAGGAGAGGGCAGGAGGCTTAAGAGATGTGAGACTCGGCTCCTGTCCTGCTACAGGCAGGGCCTTGGGTGAGTCTCTTGGGGATGCTGAGGCAGGGAGAAGCCTTGAAGCATCTCTCACCCTCTGCCTGTTGAGCTCAGGCCTTCCTGATCCATCAATTTTGCCCTGCCCCTGCTTTGGTGGCTGGGGCTGCCCCCAGGAATGCAGTGGTGGGCCTCCATATCCCACCTTGCTTGAACTCAGGGATTCCTATCCTGTCTCCACAGGGCAAGAGGGTCATTGAGGAGGATGGCTCAGAGGGCTACAGCGACCTTTTCCAGGAGAATGCCATGCTGCAGAAGGAGAACAGTGCCCTGCGCATGCGGGTGAAGGCCATGCAGGAGGCCATCGACGCCATCAATAGAAGGGTCACCCATCTTATGAGCCAGGAGGCCAATCTCCTGCTGGCCAAGGCAGGTGAGGCTGGGCTAGTGTGTGGTGTGGTGGGTGAGCTCAGCTGGTGGAGCTGGGCTAGGTGCTGCAGTACAGCCCACATCTTGCCTTGACCCACCTGCACGTCTGCTCCCCAGGGGACAGTAATGAAGCCATTGGTGCCCTCATCCAGAACTACATCCATGAGATCGAAGAGCTGAGGTGAGCTGGACATGGGGGCTAGTGAGACATCTGGGTGCTGTGGTGGGGGCTGAGCCCCAGCGTGACTCACAGCTCCAGGCCTCCAGCCTCACTGGGGTGATTTGAGTCCTGGTGCAGTAGCAGCTGCGACATGGGAATCCCAGCTTTGGTGCCAGGCTGTGCTTTGGCCATTGTTGTCCATTCTGTGCCCATTAAGGGAGGGGGAGATCCTGGTGGAAGTGCCTGGTGTCTCCCAGAGACTGCTGGACCCCCAAAATGGGTCCATCACCATCTCTTGTGGGATCCTGAGACCCTGTCTTGCAGCATCCTGACCTTCTGACCTAACAGGAATGGGAATGGCTTTGTGGTGACTGTCCCTGGCTCACGCCATCCTAAAACCAGGCAAGATCCCCTCCTCTGGGGACAGTGGGAAGTCCCCTCTTTGACTGCATCCTGTCTCCACTCCCTAGGACGAAGCTTCTGGAGAGTGAGTCTATGAACGAGTCTCTGCGTCGCAGCCTCTCGCGTCTCTCTGCCCGGCCCCCCTACTCCATGGGCTCATCCCCAGCAGCCGGCCTGGCTGGCCTCTGCAGCCCTGGAGCTCCAGGGGAGGTGGAGGCCTCTGATGTGCTCCAACGGGCCAAGCAGGACCTGGAGCGCCTGAAGAAGAAAGAGAGGAGGCAGCGGAAGAAGAGGTGAAGGCAGCTGCTGTGTGATGGTGGGAAGGAGGATGCTGCATCACAGTCCCTGTCCTTGTGGGGTCAGGGATCTGGCTTCCCTCATCCCTCCAAAACCAGAGCTCACCTGCGTTCCCCTGGTCTCCTTTTCACCCACCACATGATCCTGGAGGCTGTTTTCCCCAAAGGGTCCAAAAGCACAAGGCAAAGGGGCTCCCAGCAGGACCTGTTCTTGGGCTCCCCCACACCAGGACTCACCAGCACCTTTCTGCTCTCCCCCAGCCCAGACAAGGAAGCACTTAAGAAGCGGCAGAAACTGCAGCAGGACAATGGAGAGGAGACAGATGAGAATGAGGTGGAAGAGGTGAGTGGGCTTTGTGCTCATACCAAGTGTGTTTGGGTGTGGAGCAATGTCATCACCCTACATGGAAGAGGGACTAAGCCCAGGTCATGGAACCAGGGGCTCCATGCTGGAGTAGAATCCCAGCGTGGTAGGGTTTCAGAGGAACCTCTGGAGATCATCTAGTCCAACCACCTTGCCAGAGCAGGTCCACCTAGAGCAGGTTGCACAATATGGCACATCCAGGCACGTTGTGAATGTCTCCAGAGATGGAGACTCCACAGCCTCTCTGGGCAGCCTGTTCCAGTGTTCTGCCACCCTCAAAGTAAGTAAGTTTTTCCTTTTGTTTAGATAGAACTTCCTGTGTTCCAGTTTGTGCCCATTGCCCCTTTTCCTGTCGCTGGCTTCCACTGAGAAGAGTCTGGCCCCATACTCTTGACAACTGCCCTTTAGATATTTATAAGTATTGATGAGATCCCCCTTCAGTCTTCTCTTCTGCAGGCTAAACAGCCCTAGCTCTCAGCCTTTCCTCACAAGGGGGGTGCTCCAGCTCCTTCACCATCCTCGGAGCCCTCTGCTGGACTCTTTCCAGTAGCTCCTTGTCATTCTTGTACGGAGGAGCTTAGAAGTGGGCACAGTTCTCCAGATGTGGCCTCATCAAGGTAGAGTGGAGGGAGAGGAGAACCTCCTCGACCTGCTGGTCACACTCTTCTTGATGCACCCCAGGATGGCATTTGCCTTCTTGGCCAGAAAGGCACATTGCTGGCTCATAGTCATCCTGTTGTGTACAAGGACTCCTAGGTCCTTCTCCACTGCTTTCCAGCAGGACAAACCCTAACTTGTCCTGGGGTGGGGGGTTATTCCTCCCCAGGTGATTGTTAAGCTGGGGGAAGCTGGATGCTCCCCAGCCAGCCCTGCTGTGGATCAGGGAGCCCACATCTCTTTGGGCTTGGTTTTGATAAGCTAGGTGAGGGCAGGTTAGGTAACCCAGCTGGGATGTGATGCAAGGATGGATGCTGGGGGTCCAGAAATGGTGCTGCAGCCCCTGGGAATCCTGTGTGGGAGGCTGAGGCCTGGTGTGGGGGCTGCAGCCCACGGCTGTGGGGTGAGGTCAGGTTCGGAGGGGGAGGAGCTGCAGAGAGAAGGGCAAGGCCAGGCTGCAAGCTGAGGTTGGGCACTTGTCTCTTTAGGAGGAGGAGGAGCAGGATGAGAGCGGCTGTGAGGAAGAGGAAGGACATGAGGATGAAGATGAGGACTCGGGCAGTGAAGAGAGCCTGGTGGACTCAGACTCAGATGCAGAGGAGAAGGGTAAAGTAGAGAGCCACCTGTGCAGCCCCTGGTATGGGGGTACGTTTGCTGGCATCTCCTGGTGCTGAGCTCTGGTCCTGGGAAGGGGGAGACTGCTAGGACCTCCCTGCCGCATCTCGGGGAGGCTGGGGAAAGCATGAGGATTGCTGCAGGGAGTCTCCAGCACTCTCAAACATGCTGCCATTCCCCAGCGGGTGGGTTCCCATCTATTCCCTCTGCCCTCTCCTTGTGCTCAGTGGGGCTGTGGGAGGGATACTCCCAAATCCCTCCCAGCCTGACCGTTTCCCACTGGCCTCCAGCTGTGAATTTCCAGGCTGACCTGGCAGATCTGACTTGTGAGATAGAGATCAAGCAGAAGCTGATTGATGAGCTGGAGAACAGCCAGCGACGGCTGCAGACCCTCAAGCACCAGTATGAGGAGAAGCTAATCCTGCTGCAGAACAAGATTCGGGACACACAGCTGGAGCGGGACCGGGTCCTGCAGAACCTCAGTGAGAACCTCAGAACCTTGCCTGTGGGATCTCACCCCCATGGTGTCAGGCCCCAGCCCCTGCTCCTGCCCAGCTGACTCAGAGCCCAAGCATCCAACCCCTGCACAGAATGCTGGCTCTGGTGGAACTTTGCCATCCATGCATCTCTGCTTAGGCCCCTGGGACTCCCAAGACCCTGCTTGTCCCACTGTGGGACTAATCAGCTGAATACCTCCTGATCCCAATGGTGGTGCAAGGTGGCTGGAAACGATGGTTAGGCAAAGCCTCTTCCAGCCTTGAGTACCACTTCACAAGATATGGGAGCACTTGGGGAAGTGGAGGTGCACACGAAGACCCCAGAGACCTGGTGGTGTAGCTGTTCTGTA